CCTGTTCACCTGTTCACTCGTTTATCAGACTTGCTCATCACGTGGCGCATTCTGAGAGTAGTAGGGCTCTAGGAGATTCTAAATTCAATGGGGGAGGAAAAGTAAAATAGTTGTAATACAAACTGAACAATATCATGATGGAGTGGTATGCTGAAACCATGGGATATGAAACTTGTACAAAGTTGTTCATAACAGCATTATTCGTAGTAGTCACAGAGTGCGAACAACCCCATGTCCACTAGCTGACAAGGGGATGGACAAAATATGGCGTATCCAAACAACGGACTAATATTCAGCAATGAAAAGGAATGAGGCTCCGACACATCTGTAGCATGGACAGACCTTGAAAGCATTATGCTAAGTGTAAGAAGCCAGCCGCAAAAGACTGCATACTCTATGATTCCCATCTGTTGTCATGAGTCCGTGTGTTGTTACTGTAATGAAATACTTGACACAGGCTGCTTATGAAGGAAAGAGGTTCTGGAGGTCACAGTCCAAGACAGGGTGGCCACACTGGTGTAATGTCTGTTGGTAGAGGGTGTGAGAAGGAAGAATTGCATGGTGAGCCAGGAAGCAGAGAGAACAGCTTGGCCTGACTCAGGCCTTTACAATCAACCTTCTTATGAGAACTTTCTTCCAAGGCACGCCTCCAGTGATCTAGGCCCACCCCCCAATACCATAACTCAACTAAGTCTAGAGAGACAGAAAGTATGTTAGTGATAGCCTAGGGATGGGGTAGAGGGAGGGGGATGCTGCTAAGGAGTAGGTTTCTTTTAGGAGTAATGAAAATGTCTTCAGATTAACTTATAGGGGCTGACATAGTGGTGCAGCTCACAGCTCTGGCATCCCAAATCAGAGTGCTGGTTTGATTCTTGGAGGGCTCTGCTTCTAATCCAGCTCCTTGCTAATGCACCTGGGGAGGCAGTAGAAAATGCAGTTTGTGGGACCCAGGGCCATGTGCCTCTTTCTTTCCACTGCTTTTGCTGCCCACTTATCTTGGGACAATCGTAATGGGGGCAGCAATCTCTATAATAGTCTTGCGGTTTAATTATGTGTGCCAAGATTCCCGGGGCTGGGTGAATCCCATGAGGACTGGTGCCTAGCACGCGTAGGAGTTCCTCAGTCAACATTTGCTGGACTGAAATGAAAGCCTGGATAAATCTGAGGAGTAAGTTACGTCTTTGGCTGACCTCAGTTAGTCAGAGGCCTTGGATGCAATACAGAAGAGTGAATGTGAAAGTTTAAATTTCACGATGCCCCCTGAAACCTTTTACAATCCCTTATTTCAAATGGATTCAACATCAAGGGAAAGCTGGGATTTGAGGGAGAAGAATAAATCCTTCAAAAACAACTCCCCCCACCAAGTAATCCTTCTTTTCTGGGTGTTGTGTCTGCCTCAGAGAAGACAAATTGAATCTGGGCAAGACGTGATCTGGAGGAAGGCTGATGGAATCAAGGGAGATGCTTGTGTAATGAGTCAAAGAGTGAGCTTGGGCTCACAGGACGGGGAGCCTGGGAGAGGCATGTGGGGTGCGAGGCCAGGAGGCAGGGTGGGACCCCTCCAACACAGGTCATCCCCCCATCCCACCCACAGCCTCCCTTGCACCCAGATGCCCTGCCCTGTGGCCATGTCACACGGCTCTCACTGCCCTCCCGTCACTCCTGGCAGAGCCTCCAGATGGGTGAAAATCCAGTACCTGTCAGTCAGGTGCAGAAAATCCCTCTCTAGTCGTCCCTGGGTAACCATGGGGGATGGGTCCCAGCACCTCTGCACATACCCAAATCCACAGATGCTCAAATAAAGCAGTGTCGGCATAGAATCCGTGCATATCCTCCCATATACTTTAAATCATCTCCTATCACCTATGCCTCCTATGTATTCAATCATAATTTATAGCCCATGATACAATGTCCATGCTATGTCAGTAGTTGTTTTGCTCTATTGTGTAGGGAATAATGACAAGGAGAGAAAATCTGCACAGGATCGGCAGAATTTTTTTTCTTGGATATTTTTCATCTGTGGTTGATTGAATCCACTGAGGCAGAACATGAGAATGTGGGGGAAGCAGTCAAACTTTATTTGGAAAGAGAGAAACTGTTTTTCTGGGATTGGAAGCGATTTCTCTGTTACCTCTCAGTTTTCCGGAGATGTGAGTTGGCCACCCTAGGGCTTGCGAAGGCAGTGAGCAGCTATGCAGAGATCTCCAGCTGGAAACCTCACCCTGGCTCTTCCTTCTCTGTTCCTCTGGTTCTGTTACTGTGTGAAATCACCATTCATCTTTGCCCACTGTGCGAGTTTTCCATTGCTGCTGTCACTAGTTAGAAAAATGTGGTGGCTTAAAACCACACCCATTCATTGTCCCACAGTTCTGAAGGTCAGAGTTGAGGTGGGCGCCACTGGGATTTGCTCAGGGTCTCCCAAGGCTGAGATCAGTATGTTGCTGGCTGGCTCTTACCTGGAGGCTCTGGGGAAGCAGCTGCTTTCAAACTCATCCAAGCTGCGGGCAGAGCGCAGCGCCTCGTGGCTGCGGGACTGAGGTCCCTGCTGCCTTGCTGGCTGGCAGCCTGGCGCCCTTGCTCCTGAGGCTGCCCGCCTTCCTCCCCCTGTGTCTCCTTCCTCTTTGAGTTGAGTCTTTCTTGTGCTTCCGCCCCTCTGACTTCTTCCACCCTCCTACTTCCAGCTGGAGAAAGTTCGTGTTAGGGGCCCATGTAACCAGATTAGTTGCACCTAGACTATCTTCACTTTTGAAGATCACCTGTGCCCCAAAACGTAACTTGTGAGACCTCATGAGGTCCCCCCGGTTCTGAGCATTGGGATATGCAACCGTGGGGGCTCTTCCCAGAAAACCTTCCTATGTCATCGGCCGTGGGTTGTGGTCGCAGAGGCACTGAGGCAGTCATAGCTGCTGTGGAGGGCTGTCCGTGGGAAAGGGAGCACTAGAGTCCCCCATCCTCACGGCGGCCCACTGGAGCCAGCTGTCTTATCCCAGCACCCCATTGTAAGCCCTTGCTTGGTTTAGCGGCTTCAGGAAGCTGTCACAGCTCTTTCAAACTTTAAAAAAAAGATGAATTACCTAGAGGTGCATTTTCCTTCTTTAGGGATCATTTGCTTGTTTATTTGTTTTAAGCTAAGCAAGCTCTCAGCTCTCCTTTTGACCTTGGTCTTGCTAAGTAACTACCTTTTACATTGTTTTTGCTCAATGCAAGTCATGTTATGCAAAGTTAATTCTCAGCTGGAGTGTGGAACCAGGCAATCACGTTTGAGAAAGGGGTCCATTTCAGAACCCCCGGCCTTGTCTCCCTTCCTGCGTGTCCACAGCTTCCTAAGCAGGTGGCACGCCGCGTGCCTGGCTGTGGACAGAGCTGCTAGGTACACTAGCTGAGGGCTGCCCACGGCCGGGTTCCCCAGCCACCTTACAGCGATGCCTCATCAGACCGAGTCAGCCAAGCCCTTGTCCCTACATGTTGTGCGTTTGCTGAGCAGAGAGACAGATGCCAGTTTCCCAAGAGGGGAAAAAGGCAACTGGAAAAAAAAGGAAATGGCAGATTGTCAGCGAGATAGCTTTTGTCTCCGTGTTCCCGCCTTTGTTTTCATTTTCAGCTGTCTGTGAATGACTGTACTTTCTCTTTTGGTACTTTGGGCCGCAGATTTGCACATCAGCCTCAACTCCTGCTTGTTCTGTTTTGTTTTTCCTAATGCTCATCTAGAAAACACCCCCACACTTGACTGCCTTGTTCTAGTGTCAGCCACTGTCCACGTATGGATTGTTTACTGAGTGTGTGTGTGTGGGGGGGGTTGGGGGCATGGCCCCGTGGCCAGACTCCCGGTCTGCAAGCCAGGAAAGCTGGGCTTCTTTCCCAAGCCCGGGCAGCCCACCCCTGCAGTGACTCGAGGTCTCCGTTAACTGCCTGGGGCCTTCAGTGTGCTGTGTGATAAGTGGGACTAACACAAGGCCAGCTTTTGTGGCACCGAAACCCCAGCTCTGCTGTGATCTCATGGAGTGGCCTTCAACTCCATCAGTCCTCCTGCCTCCTTTCTCTTCTGCAGTCTAGGGAAAAGGAGATGTATATGTGTGTGTGTGTGTGTGTGGTGTGTGTGTCTATACCAATATATGTGTGCATATGCAGACACATATATGTGTCTATACGTGCAAACATATGATACAGGTGTAAGTGTATGCATATATGATACACATGTAGGTATATATACACACATGATGCATGCATATGGTATATATGTGTAGGTGTATACATATATAATGCGCATGTCTTGTCTTTACATATATATGTGTATACATATATGATATAAACTTTTATATATGTGTATCTATTCATATATATTGTACCATGGTTTGAACATGATTTGGCTCTTGTACAGTTTAACCCCCAAAGTCTTAATGTTAGTGGTACTAATAGAATGTAAGCAACACAATTGTGCTTACAGGTGGGGCCTTTGGGAAGTGATCCTATTGGATCAGGTTGTTGGCGTAGAACCCTCTTGATGGGGTCCTGGTGGTTTTCTAAAGAGAGACACACAGGGGTACGCCCTGTGTTTTGCAGAGGAATGCTCCGGACCACCTGGGACTCTGCTGGCAGGAACGCCATCCCCAGAGGCTGGGCCCCTGGGGCCTGCCTGCTCTGGAACTGTGAATCCCCCAATTCTGAACCAGAATAGCCCCTTTTCCTTTACGAAGCTAGGCTGCCTCAGGAATTTCTAGTGAGGAATTGTAGTGACGAAAACTGTTTTAATAGACATGGTGCCATGAAAGAGCATCGGGCCGGCCATGAGACCAAGTGGCTCCTGTGTTTGGGTTTTGACTCGAGCAGCTCTGTGACAATGGCTAACTGACTCGACTTCTGTGCCTGAGTTTCCTCCTCTGCAGAGGGAGTGTAGACTGACCTCTGGTTTGCTGTGAAAAGCGCGTCAGTCACCGTGCCTGGGTATGTGGCGTAGGTGGTGAAGTGTGTGCTCTCGCAATCTGCCTGTTATTTTCTTGTAGGACATTTCTTGTAGCAATTGTCATTGCTAAATGGCAGTGTCAACTGAGTCCAGACACGGGAAGATCCTCGTCTCTGTCCCGTGGGGGATCAAGTTCAAGTGAGTGTGCTGCTGGGGTCCAAGAGCTTCTGGTGAGTGGCCCGTCCCTTCCTCAACTCCTCCTACTAATGGGCACCCATGTTCCCAGGCAGAATTCTTGTTCACTCATCAGGTACAAGACCCAGACACCAAAATAGCACTTGTGTCAGAAACTGGTACTGCTCGGTGGCTTCGGGGATTTATTTTTTTCGCTTGGCTCTACTTCCCTCCCGGCATCTGTGGACGTGTGGAGGATGTGACACAGGCTGGGTGGCTAGGTTCAGAAGCGATCCAAACATTACACAGAGAGACAAGAATTTCAGAGGTGTTGCAGAGGACGGGCCGGCACCATCGATGTAGGGCAGACACAGGCCCCAAGTTTTGCAGGCGTCCAGCTTGTATAGGACGCGGGGCCCAGAGGAACGACATTCAACTCTAAATGAAGAATTTACAACACAACTTTGTACGTACGAAAGGATGTCATCGTTTAGCAGGTAAATATGTGTCACTTATGCCAACTGGAAAATTATTGTTTAAAAATATGCAGGGATTTTTAAATAGATATGGTCACTAAATTTCATGATTTTGCTAACAACTGCATTTAAAGAATGCAGGAAACATTGAAAATGTCACTTTGAGAAGTGGCCCTTCAACATGCCCAGTAATCATCTATGTTTCAGTATCTTTATTTTTTTAAGATTTTATTTATTTGTTTATTCGAGAGGCTGAATTACAAACAGAGGGAGGGAGGGAGAGAGGGAGAGACAGAGACAGAGACAGAGAGAGTCAGAGAGACAGTGAGAGGTCTTCTATCCACTGGTTCACTCCCCTAATGGCTGCAGTGGCTAGAGCTGGACCCATCTGAAGCCAGGAGCCAGGAACTTCTTCCAGGTCCCCAATGTGAGTGCAGGGGCCCAAGGGCTTGCGCCATCTTCCACTGCTTTCCCAGGCCATAGCAGAGAGCTGGATTAAAAGAGGAGCAGCTGAGCCTCAAACCGGCACCCATATGGGATGCTGGCACTGAAGGCGGAGGCTTAGGTCACTACGCCACAGCGCCAGCTACAGTTTCAGTATCTTTATCTTCTATGTGGGACATCAGACTGAATTTCTGGGGTTCTTGTGAGAAGTTAGGATAATGTGTGAAAGGAGCTGAGGCCAGATCTGGTGATGGTAGGAATTTAAAACCTGGAGCTTGTTTATTACTAGGGAAGGTATAAGGTTGTGGTGCAGTCTGTTAAGTTGCTGCTGGGACGCCCACCTCCTGTATCCCGTATCAGAGTGCCGGGTTAGAGTCTCAGCTACTCTGTGCTTCTGATTCTCTGCTAACGCCCATGGGAAGCAGCGGATGATAGCTCAGGTATCTTTCATTCCAGTGACCCACGTGGGCAACCTGGTTGGAGCTGCTGGCTCCTGGCTTTGGCCTGATATAATCCTGGCTGTTGCAGCCATTTAGGGAGTGAGCAGTGGATTCTCTTCTGTCCCTGTCTCTCACTGTCTCTCTCTGTGTCACCCTGCCTTTCAAATAAGTAAGTAAATCTTAAAAAAAAAAAAAAAAGTCAAGCGGAGGGCAGGTGTTTGGTGCAGTGGGTTAAATTGCCAGTTGGGATACCCACATTTCATATCAGAGTGCTTCGGATCGAGTCTTGCCTCTGCCTCCAATCCAGCTTCCTGCTAATGTGCACCCTGGGGGGAAGTAGAAGATAGCTCAAGTACTTATGCCACCCATGTGGGAGACCCAGGTGGAGTCCCTGGCTTCTAGCTTTGGCCTGGCCCAGCTCCAGCTATTGTGGGCATTTGAGGAGTGAAGCAGTAGAAGGAATACCTCTGTGTGCCTTTCTGTGTGTCTCTCCTCCTTTGTCTGTCACCTCTCCCTTTCAAATAAATAAATAAATAAATCTTTCTAAAGGAAGCAAACAGTACACACAGTATTTATGATTCAGAATTTCCAGCTCTTGTCGGAATATTTTCCCTTCTTATCTGGAGTATGACAGACAGATTTAGTAGGACTTCTTTAATTTCTGGATATTGTAGCCGATTTCCACTTGTTGGAAATTAGAAAATCCCATATGGGTGCTGATTCAAGACCCAGCTGCTCTATTTCTGATCCAGCTCTCTGCTATGGCCTGGGAGAGTAGTAGAAGACGACCCAAATCCTTGGGCCTCTGCACCCTGACTTCAGATGATTCCAGCTCTAGCCGTTGCAGCCATTTGGGAGTGAACCAGTGGATGGAAGACCTCTCTCTCTCTCTCTCTCTCTCTCTCTCTCTCTCTCTCTTTCTCTGCCTCTGTGTAACTCTGCCTTTCAAATAAATAAATCTTTAAAACAATTCATTGCATCTTAGAAATTACATAGAAATGAAAACTCTGCATTGTGTGACAGGCAATGGACTACATGCTTTACCCACATGAACAATTAATATTCTAAGGGACCGTAGACAGGGCGGCCTCACTGCAGATGAGAGAACCAGATCTCCAAGAGTGGCGGTCGCTTGGCCAAGGCCATGAGAAGGGTAAGGGGATGAGAACTGAATTCTTTATGAAACCTCAGGCCACATGCTCAGTTACTAAGCATGCTGAGTTTGTTGAAGAACAGCCTGTCACTGGAGCCGCACACACGGAGCAGGGGTTGAGGTTGTCCTGGCTATGCAGGGCCTGGGGGGAACTTTGGGGAGCTAAGGAAAGGAGAGGGAGCTGCTGGTTCTGTGGGCTACACTCATGGTCATTTTCCTGCTTAGGTCTCAAAGCTCAGCCGCGACCCCTGCCAATGGATGCCCTGTCCCCCCGGACACCCCCCTCCCCAGGAGTGCACGTCCCTCCCTCTGCCCACCCTCTCTCAGGGTGCTTTTGGTGCACCATCTTTCTCTTGGAGCCCGAGGGACTTCCCTGTTCTCTCGGAGCCCAGTCCAAGAGTCTCATGCTGGTGTGCACACAATGCCTGCCACTCCTATTCTCGTCTTCCCTGTCCCATCAGTTCCTCTCAAACGCCCTCCTCCTCCTCCTGCCCCCCAGGCTCCCACTGTTAACTTATTCCAGTCTATGCATGTGCCTTCCCTGGCCAGCAGCAACCGGTACTCTGACAGCCACGGTGGAGGGTGACAAGGCAGCCTGGAGGCCAATAGTTAGGACACAGCCTAGTGGGGGCCAGGTGTTGGCTTGTGAAACGGCCCTGTTGAATGGCAGAGCCATAGGGACAGTGCGGGGGGTGGTTATTCACTCAAATTCACTCATACATTCAAGTTTTTAAAAATTGAATTCCTGGTGTTGGGGACGGAGCCGTGCCTTGGAAAACTCAGAGCCCAAGGAGTGGAAGACTATGATGACAGAGGGTCAGTGCGGGCAGCCATAGTCTGAGTGCTGTGAGTCTGTGTGTGTGTGAGTGTGTGTGTGAGAGTGTGTGTGTGGACATGTGTGTGTGGGCTTGTGTGTGTGGGAGGGGAGGGGGGCCTGCAGGTGGAGGTGCAGCAGGTGCTAATGCTGAGCGCAGGAGAGGGCAGGTGCTTCCACAAATATACACACAGCAGCGTGGCTGGGATAGCCCATGTGTGGGGAGGAATGGTAAAAGCCACTCATTCTGATGGACTCGTCAGCCATGACCCTAACCCATGCTGCAGCTGATCACTGAGGAGACAGAGGTAAGGAAACCAGTGAGGGCTGAGACCTGCCCTGGGGCCGGCAGGAGCAGGAGGTGTTACCATCCCTGGAGCAGTTACTGAAAACTCTTAAGAAATTCTAAGAATGCTCTAGCTGCAGGTGTAGGAGTTGGGGACTTGGGTTAAAGCAACCAGTGCCTGCCACCCACAGCCCAGCAGGGAACTGCGGTGCAGGGTGAGGAAGAGAGGGCTGTGTGATGGAGGGCTGCCTGGTGGCGGTGGTCTTAGGCATGAGCAGTTGCCGCAGTGGGAACCAGCCCCAGGAGCATGTTGCTTGGCTTGGGAATGGTTCTGCTAGGGCCCTTGGGCTTGGCAGTGGAACGTTTTCCATTTCTGTCCTTGTGATCTTTTCATCTTGCTATTGACATATACTTTCCTTGACGGGAATGGCTTATGGCCACCTTCTAGGCTCCACGCAACTTCTAAAGGAAAAGTGCGGCCTCATATATGAGTCATCATGCAGGAACTCTACGTTTGGTAGGACTCATCTTTTTTATAACAGGAAGTCAATACATGTTGCTAAGCTACTGTGTCCACCAAAAAAAACCATATAGTAGATTCCATTGTACTCTTGTGTTCTGTGAGAGTTGATGATTCCTCGATGTTAATCCAGGGCTTTTGTTCTTGACCTCCTTTGCCCAAAGTTAATTAGAGTTTGGCCATGGCATACTTGGTGTAAACAAAATAAAAAAGGCCTGAATCAGAATTTCCCATGAGAAAACAGTCTTAAACTTTCTCAAAAGAACTTAAAAAGCTCTACTGGTCCATGCTTTTAGCTTCCGCATCTATCATCTATCATCTATCTATCTATCTATCTATCTATTATCTATATCATCCATCTATTCAAGGACCTTGCAAATCTCTGATTTAATCTTACTGTTGCAAAGAAAAGAAATACAAGGACTCCTCAAAAAGTTAATGGAAGATGCATATTAAGAAAAATCTATGCGTGGGGCCGGCACAGTGGCACACTTAGTTAATCCTCTGCCTGCGGCACCAGCATCCCAATATGGTGTCGGGTTCTAGTCTCAGTTACTCCTCTTCCAGTCCAGCTCTCTACTGTGGCCTGGGAAGGCAGCGGAGGATGGCCCAAGTGCTTGGGCCCCTGCACTGTGTGGGAGACCAGGAGGAAGCATCTGGCTCCTGGCTTCGGATGGGCGTAGCTCCGTCCTTGGCAGCCATTTTGGGGGGTGAACCAATGGAAGGAAGACCTTTCTCTCTGTCTCTCTCTCTCACTGTCTAACTCCGTCAGATTAAAAAAAATAAAGAAAAGAAAATCCATGCATGAATTTCAAAATCTTTTTGCATCAAAATAAACTTATCTTTTCACTCCATTTCTAATGACAGTTTCAAATCCCCTGTACACAGACTTCTCACATAAGTGTTAAGAGTTGCAAGCTCCTTGTTTGGTCTACTGGGGTTGGGGCATCTGTTATCACCTCTGAAAAGAGAAAGGCAGTCAGAGACCATTTGGAAGTGCAGTGTAACGAAAGAAGAACTAGGCCTCCATTACACCATTTCCCCAAGACAGAAATTTCAAATAATGGACATCACTGCCTGTATCAGAGGCTGTGAACCTCAGTGGGGTCATCTTGTCTTAATATTTAATGTACATGAACTCACTTGACAGAGTTGACAATTAGGGTACCATTCAATCCAAGGTCCACAAGAAGGAGGGATGGGTGCACTGGAACTGGCTCTTCCTGCAGCTGGAATTTCTTACGTGCGCTCCGTGTCAACGCCTCACCCTGCGGAGTGCACTGACGGCAGCTTTTATCCCCACACAGCATTGTTTCCGAACGCAAGTCACTGTCCTCATCTCATCTCCGCGAGTAGCTCCAGCTTCAGGGTGAGAGCTGGCTGTGCTGAGCTTTCTGAGAGATGAGCTGTCCATCTCCAGGTGCTTCGCAGTTAGGGGCTTGCTCATTTTAGCAGTGGTCATAAGGATTTGAGAGTGAAAAAAGGTATTGTGAAGCTAGGGCATCGAGTTCTAAACTGATTCAGGAGGCAAGAAATGTGTGTGAGACCTGAGCTGAGACTTGTACCTGGAGGACCTGGGCTGTAAGTATGTGCCCAGGAATTTTCCTATGTGTTCCAACTTCCTGCCAAAGATGCACATTTCTGATGAAAAGGAACTTCCAAAACTCATTTTCCATCTACGTGCTTTCACCAGTATGCTAGCCTCTGACCCCAACACTCATGGAAGCCATAATGGTTAGATTCTGAGTTCCAACTCCATTGACAATTACCTTGTTATTTCTGCTAAGCCTCAGTTTCCTCAAATGTAATAGTGGATCTTACCTAATAGGGTAGTTCTGCTGATCAGATGAGATGATCAAATGAAATGCACTGAGCACCTGCATTTAATAAGTAATGCAATCGATGTTTACTCTGATCACCCAGGAAGCAAAAGCAAGCCCATGCCTTGGCTCCACGCCACTGATTTGTGGGAAGAACAAAGGACTGGTTCTGTGCTCTAGATGCAAAACAATGGAAATATTTTATTTATTTATTTTTTAAGTTTTGTGTTTTTTTGTAAAGATTTATTTATCTATTTGAAAAGCAGAGTTACAGAAAGAGTGAGGGGGAGAGAAAGATCTTCCATCTGTGGCTTCACTCCCCAAATGGCTGCACTGGCCAGGACTGGGCCAGGCCAAAGCCAGGTCTTCCATATGGCTTAGGGTCCCAAGCACTTGGACCATCCTCTGTTTTTTTCCCAGGTGCATTAGCAGGGAGCTAGATCAGAAGTGGAGCAGCCGTATGGGTTGCTTGCATCTCAGGCAGTGGCCTAACCCACTCTGCCACAATGGCGGCCCCAGCGAAAATATTTCAAAAGCATTTGTGTTTCCCTGTTACATATGTTGTGTTTTACATTAATAACTCCGAAACTATTTAAATATGCACGTGGCAGATTCAGGTGTTCACTCAGTGTATCTGGTGTATGTTGGGCATCTGCTGTCTGCCAAGCCAGGTGCTGGGGAAGAAGAGACAAGATACAGCCCTTGAGCCATGGGAGGACACAGGTGCGAGCCAGTGCGGGCAGTGGAGTGAAAGGGGCACCTGGAAGAACTTTGGTGCAGAAAGTAGGGAGTGGGCCAGAAAGGGCTGCTGGCATGAGCAGAGCAAGAGGTGGGAAATGGCAGGGGTTACAGGCAGCTCTGAGAAAGCCAGGTCACCAGAAGGGTCAGGGTGAATCCTGGAATGGTGGGCAGAGAGGCTGGAAGGAGACGCTGACCTTTGGGTCCTTGTGTGCTCCCCCAGAGCCTTGGCTCTTCAGCCTGAAGCTCTCAGGGCACCGCTATGAATGTGTACCCGAGGACTCCAAAGACCTCATGGCAAATGGAATTAAAAGGTAAATTTATTTTGATGCAAAAAACTGAAATCCGTGCATAATTTATTCATAATACACATTTTCTGTGTATTTTTTAAGTTCCCTTAAATACATGAATTTTGCATCAAAATAAACTTACCTTGCGACAGGCGTTGTGGTATAGTGGGTAAAGCTTCAGTCTGTGACACCGGCATCCCATATGGGCTCTGGTTTGTGTCCCAGCTGCTCCACCTCTGATCCAGCTCCTTGCTAATGGCCTGGGAAAGCAGCGGAAGTTGGCCCAAGCATGAGACCTGGATGTAGCTCCTGGTTCTTTTTTTTTTTTTTTTTTTTTTTTTTTTTTTTTTTTTTTGACAGGCAGAGTGGACAGTGAGAGAGAGAGACAGAGAGAAAGGTCTTCCTTCCATTGGTTCACCCCCCAAATGGCCGCTACGGTCGGAGCGCTGCGCCGATCCGAAGCCAGGAGCCAGGTGCTTCCTCCTGGTCTCCCATGCGGGTACAGGGCCCAAGCACTTGGGCCATCCTCCACTGCCTTCCTGGGCTACGGCAGAGAGCTGGACTGGAAGAGAAGCAACCGGGACAGAATCCAGCACCCCAACCGGGACTAGAACCGGCGCCGCAGGTGGAGGATTAGCCAAGTGAGCCACGGCACTGGCCCAAAGCTCCTGGTTCTTGGCTTTAGCCTGGTCCAGCCCTGGCCATTGCCCATTGCAGCTGTCTGGGGAGTGAATCAGCAGATGGAAGATTCCCCCCCCCCCCTTCTGTGTAACTCTTTCAAAATAAATCTTTTAAAAAATGAACTTTTACTTCATTTTCTAAGAGCATTTTGAACTAGCATCAGATATTGATAATTTTGTGTGGAGGATGGGTTGGAGGTGGAGACCAGATTCAGGGTAGATGAGGTGGCTTCTGCATCTGTTGGAACAAGGTCTGGATGTGGGTGGTGCCCCTGGGAAGGAGCAGGAGGCAGGGGCACTGACAGAACTGTGGAGAGTGAGGGCGGGGAGGAGGCAGAGAGGAACCCCAGGTAGCTAGATTGGTAGTGGAGTATGCGGTGGAGCATAAACAGAGAATAAATATATATATATTTTTTTTAGAGTAAAAGAGGAGGAGGAGCATGTTTTAAGGGTGGAAGAGGATTTGTTCCTTTTGAAAAAACTTTACATAGATACTGAATTTTTAATCAAGAAAAGTGATGATTCAGATATGCTTTTCTTTTAGTATCTGGAATGAAATGATCGGTAATCATCAAGTCCTCAGGAGATATGTGAACAGGAGTTTGCACAAAGACTCCCAGGAGGCCGGCGCCGCGGCTCACTAGGCTAATCCTCCGCCTAGCGGCGCCGGCACACCAGGTTCTAGTCCCGGTCGGGGCGCCGGATTCTGTCCCGGTTGCCCCTCTTCCAGGCCAGCCCTCTGCTGTGGCCAGGGAGTGCAGTGGAGGATGGCCCAGGTGCTTGGGCCCTGCACCCCATGGGAGACCAGGAAAAGCACCTGGCTCCTGGCTCCTGCCATCGGATCAGCGCGGTGCGCCGGCCGCAGCGGCCATTGGAGGGTGAACCAACGGCAAAGGAAGACCTTTCTCTCTGTCTCTCTCTCTCACTGTCCACTCTGCCTGTCAAAAAAAAAAAAAAAAAGACTCCCAGGAAAGACCAGGCAACAACTCAGCCAAGCTACCCACATATATATTTTTAAAGATTTATTTATTTGAAAGGCAGAGTTACAGAGACAGAGGGAGAGTCACAGACAAAGAGCTTCATCAGCTGGTTTGCTCCCCAGATGACCACAAAGGCCAGGGCTGGACCAGGCTGAAGTCAGGAGCCAGGAGCTTCATCTGGGTCTCCTACATGGCTGCCATCATCCACTGCTTTCCCAGGCGCATTAGCAGGGAGTTGGATGGGAAGTGGAGCAACTGGGACACAAACCAGTGCCTATAGGGGATTCCAGCATTGCAGGTGGTGGCTTTAACCTCTACGCCACAGCGCTGGCCTCTAACCCCCATAATTTATGATGGGGCAGGGGACGAAGAGAATTGTAAAACCTTGAGAAAGAGGGAGACTGGTTATAGAAAAAACACTGATATAATGAGACTAATAAAAATAATAAAAAACCCCCACTGTCTTCAGATACCAGTTTCTGCCTCTTCCCTGACGTTTAATTAATGGCTCTTCATTCTCTCTTCCCAGTTTCCTCTGATAGATTCTTAGAATAAGTGGTAGGTAGCAACAAGTGAAGCCAATGGAAGGAAGGAGGAGAAATAGGCACTTGGATAATTCACAGACTGATAGTGACTCACTTAAGTCAGGTGGAGCCGTGAGTGCTACATAGGTGGAGTCGGAAGAAATTAAGACGAGGTTTGGGGATATAGCCACAAGATCAGTGAGTCTGTGAACTTCAAGTTCTTACACATGCTTGTGTGTCTTAGCCTAGAAACCTACTGGGTTTTCAATTTTCTTTCTTTCAGATGCAGTCATCTTATTCTAGGGGTTCTGGACAGCAGGGAGGAGTGGTGTTTGCTTTCTACTGCAAACTCAATAAAATAAGAAACTGAAAATGGGGAGGAGACACGCAGACAGTTTCCCTTGCAGAGAAGGGCTCAGAGCAGTCCCACTCCTGCATACAAAGGGCTCATGGAGTCCTTGTTTGCTGCAGCGCCCCTGGGAGAGGGCTGAGGTCAGTAGGAGAGGGCTGTGGGTGGGTGTCCCCCGGCTCACTTCCTCCCTCTCCTCTCCCTGCCAGGGCTCCCTCGTCCCGACCTGTAGTCCCCGCCCAGGCAATTCCAGCTCTGGGTGTTTCTTAAGCAAATAGAGCAAATCCTGCCAGCTCTAGGGGTTGCCACCTTTTAGAGGCTGGATTCCAGGGCAAGTCCTCATGACTTCTAGTGACTCAGTGCACCGGCCTCTTCTCAGTCTTTGATGTCTCCCTCCTCCGGCTCCTTAAACACTTAGGTCTCTGTGCAGCCACCTCTCCATGCACGCACGGCCGTGTTCTAATGATCTGTGCTGTGGCTGTGGAGCGTGGTGTTTCTGCCCTCCCGGCATATTCTCTGGCTTTCCCAGGTCTATGTCCTACTGTCCAACCACATGGGGGACTGCTGGGGACTGGGAAGAAATTTGTCAGCTGCTTCTTCACCTCCTTCCTCTCCCCATTGCCACACTGGAGACCAGAGCACCGCAGCTTCAACAAATGCTTGTGGAGTGTGGAGTGAGGCCTACAACTGGGTAGCTCCAAGGAAGAAAAAAAATGTACACAAAATGTAAACAAATATCTCCTTAAAGGATACAATAGTAATTCTCTCTTTTTTTTTTTTTTTTTAAGATTTATGTATTCATTTGAAAGGCAGAGTTATGGGGAGTGGGGGAGACAGAGAGAGAGAGAGAGAGATCTTCCATCGCTGGTTCACTCCTCAAATGGCCACAACACCTGAAACTGGGTGCATCTGAAGCCAGGAGCCAGGAGATTCATCTGGGTCTCCCATGTGGGTGCAGGTGCCCAAGGATTTGGGCCATCTGCTGCTGCTTTCCCAGGAGCATTAGCAGTGAGCTGGATTGGAAGTGGAGCAGTCAGGACTTCAGCTGGCACTCATGTAGGCTGCTGGCATCACAGGCGGTGGCTTTACCCGCCACGCCACCCGCTGGTCCCAGTAGTAATTCTTGTCAAGCATCTGGTGGATGTCAGGCACTTTGTGTCATCACGTTCGATGCCTGTAATGTTCTCGAGCGTCGTGGTTTTACGGATGAGGGAGCTGAAGCACAAGTAAGCAGTGTTTCCATGTTTCGAAGGAGATTCTGTGTTTGGGTAGCACCCACTTCTACTCTAGACTATCCTGCTTGTGTTGCACTTAAATCTGTTTCTACCCACAGGGTCTACTGTGATTCCTTCTGGATGTATCATTATATTGTACATTTGTATCTGTAACATCAGGAGTAGATCTTTGTGTCTGGTTTGAGGTCAAAATTAATTTTTTTAAAAAATTTATTTATTTGAAAGAGTTACACAGAGAGAAGGAGTGGCAGAGAGAGGTCTTCTTCCATTGGCTGGTTCACTCCCCAGTTGGCTGCAATGGCCAGAGCTGCGCCGATCTGAAACCAGGAGCCAGAATCTTCTTCCAGGTCTCCCATTTGGGTGCAGAGGCCCAAGGACTTGGGCCATCCTCCGCTGCTTTCCCAGGCCATAGCAGAGAGCTGGATTGGAAGTGGAGCAGCTGGGACTCAAACTGGCACTCATATGGGATGCTGGCACTGCAGGCAGTGGCTTTACCCACTACACCACAGCACTGGCCCCAATTTTTTGTTTTTGGATTCTCAAATGATAGCACATAATTTGCTCTTTAAAAAGATTTATATATTCATTCATTTGAAAGGCAGTGAGAGAGAGAGAGAGAGAGAGAGAGAGAGATCTTCCATTGGTTCACTCTTCAAATGGCTGCAGCAGCCTGGCCTTGGCTCAGAGACAGAAATTCCATCTGAACATCCTATGTGGGTGGCACAGACCCAAGCATTTAAACCATTATCCACTGCTTCCCAGGTGCATTAGCAGGAAGCAGGGTCGGAAGCAGAGTAACTGGGACTCGAACAAGTGCTCTAGAGTGGGGTGGCTGGCATTGCAAATGCGGCTTAACCTGATGCCTCACAGCTTCTGCCCTGGCACATGGTATTTTGAAAGCAACCATTCTTGTGTTGCAGTGTCACTTTTTCCCTAAGTCAAGTGACCTTACATATATGAGTCAGGTTTGTATTCACTAGTCTATTACTCTGTTTTCTTTGTACTAAACTTCTGTCTTAATCATTACAACTTGACAGTATTTCTTCATATCTGGAAGTATAAATCTTCCAACTTCACTCTTCCTTTTCAGGATCACCTTGATTACCCTTGGCCATTTGTATTTCCATAAAAGTTTCAGGATCACCTTGTCTGTTTATATACACACACATACGCTCTCTCTGGGATTTTGATTGGGATTATATTGAATCTATAGATCAATTTGGGAAGAATTGACATCTTGACTCTTTTGGATCCATTGACATGGTAAATCTCTCTTTTTAAGGTCTTTATGAGCTTCTCACAATAATGTTACATAGTTTTTGTATTGCTCTCCTGTTCACATTTTGTTAGATTTGTTTTATTTTATTTTTTAAAAAGATTTATTTATTTATTTGAAAGTCAGAGTTACACAGAGAGAAGAGAGGCAGAGAGAGAGAGAGAGAGAGAGGTCTTCCATCCAATGGTTCACTCCCCAATTGGCCGCCATGGCTGGAGCTGCGCCGATCTGAAGTCAGGAGCCAGGAGTTTCTTCCAGGTCTCCCATGTGGGTGCGGGGGTCCAAGGACTTGTGCCATCTTCCACTGCTTTCCCAGGCCATAGCAGAGAGCTGATCAGAAGTGGGGCAGCCAGGTCTCAAACCGGTGCCCATATGGGATGCTGGCACTTCAGGCCAGGGTGTTAACCTGCTGCACCACAGCACTGGCCCCAAGATTTATTTTATGTATTTTGTTTTTTTTTTTTGAATGAAATTGTACTTGTGATCATCTAAAACTTTCATTTATTATGACATACAGGATTTTGTGTATTGTTAATTTAAGTAGAGACTTTGCTTTTCACTTATTAATTCCAATTGTGAAGTATTTTAGCTGTCTTATGTATGTAATTATGTCATCTATAAATAATGATAAATTTCTTTTTTTCTGATAACCGAATTTTATCTCTTTTTTTTCTTGATTTCTATGCATTCCAGAACAATGTTGATTAAAAGTAATGATGGCCGGCGCCATGGCTCAATGGGCTAATCCTCCGCCTTGTGGCGCCAGCACCCCGGGTTCTAGTCCTGGTCGGGGTGCCGGATTCTGTCCTGGTTGCCCTTCTTCCAGGCCAGCTCTCTGCTGTGGCCCGGGAGTGCAGTGGAGGATGGCCCAAGTCCTTGGGCCCTGCACCCCATGGGAGACCAGGAGAAGCACCTGGCTCCTGCCTTTGGATCAGTGCGGTGCGCCAGCCGCAGCGCGCCGGCCACAGCGGCCATTGGAGGGTGAACCAACGGCAAAGGAAGACCTTTCTCTCTGTCTCTCTCTC